CCCGAACTGATCATCCTCCACTTTGATTTTCGATTGGTACCTATTATGGACGTATACCCAAATTACCGTCGGGTAGTCTATTAAATTTTGTTTCAGCTGCTATAAAGCCAAAGAGCTTTGGGGGTTGATCCCTTCAGTGAATGCTTTAACAACCCAATCGTCCACAACCGGGGGCAGATCCATCCTTTCCATTAAAACCTTCACACGAACTCCCTGAGCATTTTGTTATCTTTTTGTTTGACTTTAAAGAGGTCTGATTTTCTGGTCTCCACTTTAATGGCCCCGACATGAGCTTTTACAAAGGCATCCGTAAGCATAGGAAACGAATCAATGGAATTAGGGGGCAGGTTGTGATACCATATCATTGCTCCTTTAGACATGGTTTCCCCGAACTTTTCCAGTAGAACCGACTTAATTTCATCATCTTCCAAGTCATTTCCCTTGATGACACACATGTAGTAGGTCACGTGTTCATTCAGATCCGTAGTCCTATTATACTTTGGAATTTCGGGCATACAGAACTTCTTTGGGATCGGTTTCGGAGCTGCGCTCGGAGGGAAAGGTTTTTGGACGAACTTCTTGGTATCCAAGCCTTTTAATATCGGGGGTGCTCCTGGGATTTGATTAACCATGTAGTTATAAGTCTCCACTTTTTTGTCGTTGGCTTCGATTTTCTTTTTTCTCGATTCCACCCGTTTTGTCAGTTCCTCAAGCATCTTTATTATCTTGGAGTTGGTCTCAGGTTCAACTTCACCCTGCCTTTATGTGGCCGGTTCATTTCTGCGAGTGTTTTTCCGGGATGGTTCGGGCTCGACTCTGCTAGGCGCCGTATTTGGTTCTACAACTGGGCTATCATTTCCTGTTGAGCCTGTAACATTTCGAAGATCACCCGCAAATTGATTGTATCACCTTCGCTGTCGTGTGTACTCCAGGCCATCGATTAGGCTCCCCCGCGAACGCTGTTTTCGGGGTCGGTAGGCAAGTATGCGTCGATAGCTACATGTGAGTTAGCATCGATCGGGTCCATGACTGGAACTCTATTGGAATCAATAGGGGGCACCTCGTTGCTGGGCACTACATTGTTGTTCTCGCCATGGTGGCCAGACTCAGCATTAACGTTCAAATGAGCAGATTGAGAGTTCGACATTTTTAATTTGACCTAAAATTAAAATCTCAAAGAACAAGTGTAAAATAGAGTGCGTTGTGGAAACTTGTATCAAATTACTACTATTATCCCTAGCCCCACGGTGGGCACCAAACTGTTTACCCTAAAAAATAGATAATAATTTAATTTATATGTAATTTTAAAGGATATGTGGATTAATGCAATATGATTGATTAATGACGTTAGATTAAGCAAATAAAAAACGTAATAGATGCTCAAACCAATGATAAGGGTGATTCCGAGCTCGGTTGATGGATCGATGAAGAACCTGCCCTCGATTCCAAGCTTATACTTATGAAGAACTTAAGAACAAGAATAAGAACTTTGAACAAAGAGAATTGAAATAAATTGCCTTGATATGCATGTTACAATGTGTCATGAATAATAAGCTTTTCCCTTTATATAGTAGGGGAGTTTTACCCTAAGTACAATTCTAAGAAAGGTAAAATTCTTTCGTTTCGCTAACCACTAATTTTCTATCGATACGGGGCGAGATTCACGCCATGATATCTGGTTAGGCACAAACATCACGACCCTTTGTTAGCCGTGTGTAGCTGTTTGGTAATACTCTCTGAAGTCTCAATCCTCAGATCGGACCCGGAGGATATGGCTCCGATATCCCCGAGGGCAGGTGTTTTGCCCGAGCCCCGATACGAGGGGCTCTTCGCTCTGACTCCGATCCATTACGGTCATGTTCCTGCTCCGTTTGACTCATCGGAAAGTCGAGTCATGCAGTGGGCTCGATTTTATCCGTATACAAAAATACAAACTAAAAAAGATAACCTTTTAAGTCTACTTCCCCCCCTAATTAGATGCTTACTTGGTGGACAATAAAAGAAAACTAAAACAGGAAAAGATCTCCCAAAATCGACAATCATGGGAATGTTAACAAAATCAGCAATTACTCTTCCAATATATTATTAGGTTTACTCAAATAAAAAAAATTCAAGAGTGAAATTCACTTTACCCCCTTAACCTTTAAGGGTTGTAAAATAATACCCCCTTACTTTTTGAATGAGAAAGGCAACCCCCCTTATGCAATATTTTTTTAGTGAGAGTTTATTTTTTAAAATAAAGATTTTTTCTCTCTCTATCCTTTTAAAGGTGAAGAATAATATTTTTTATCCAAACCAATACTTGAATTTCGTCTTTCTTACTTGTAAAATTTAAGGTATTTTTCTATTATATTGAGGTTATATTGAAGCCATTATTAAAAATTTTGCAATAAAGAAAAATAATTTGCATACGAAATTCAAAAAATATGTTGAACGCACATTCACCATGGATGCTTTAGCATTTCATAAAGGAAAAAAGATACACTGAAATAGTCAATTCTCTGATATTTGTTAGCTGAAAAAATTGTTGCTATGAGTATTAGTAATTTATTTATGTATTTTCTTTGAATATTAAAATTATTATATTAAAGAGATTATTAAACTTTACTTATTTTTAAAACTTTTTATTGAACAGAAATTATAGTTGATAATGTCATATTTGAAAATTTATTATGGAAACGTTTTTATATTACATCATATCTTAATTAACTATGCAGGAAGAAGGCTAACGGGAACTCCATAATTAAATTATATAGATCCTAATGTTTGTCATATGTTGAGATTTTGGCTATAATTAAAGAAGTTGGTTATTCTAAAAGTTATCTATTAAAAAAAGAAAATTTTTTTGTTAAGAAAAATTATTTCACCGAAAATCTATTGCACAAGGAGGTTCCTTTTCCCATTCAAAACATGAGGGGGTATTGTTTCTCAACCCTTAAAAATTAAGGGTAGAGTGGACTTGACTCAAAATTTAATTGAAAAACTTGGATTTGAGGATCCAAGTCAATCCATAAATTTGCAAGATTTAACCCACCATATCTTGAGCTATTGAACCAAAGTAATTTTTTTGGTAAAAAGCTAATACAATAAGTGAAAGAGGTAGAAACATAGAAATGTTATTGGTAACTTTCAATCAAAAAATATTTCTTTTATTGTCCACCAGCTAAGCATCTTAGGAAAAAATAGACTTGAATTTTTCTTTTTTAGTTAATGTCTTAAAACAAGTAAATAGAGACCTGAGCATACTTGTCAAAAAATAAACTAACCTTGCATAAATAATGTTGATTATGTGATTCACATAATTAAATTTCTCGTCACCACTAACTAAGAGGAAAAAAGAAAATTAAATAGTTCAAGTCAATTTATTTTGCCAAAACAGAAAAGTGTGTCGTGTTCTATTTTTCCTAAAAATAGCAAGTCACACTTGTAGCTAGGGGTGTTCAAATCGAACCGAAAAATCATACCAAACCGAAAAGTCAACCCAAACCGATTAAAAAACCTGAGTAGGTTTGGTTTGATTTGGTATTAAGTAAAATAACCCGAACCAAACCAATATATAAATGTATAATTTTTATTTATACTTTTAAGATTTTATATAAAATTTTCTTCAAAAAATATCTAGAAATACTTGGGATCCTCTCATGAAATATAATATTTAATAGAACTATGAAGTGCTTCTATTTTTATTTAATTTAAATTATGGATTCTATCATCACTTTTTTATCACGTGTTATTGAAATGCGTCAATCTCTTTATTTTTTCATATTCATATATCAAGATCTGTTAATTCTTATATTTTTTCGAATTTGAAATGGTATTTAAATATTTTTAAAATTAAATAGAATATATCATTATTTAGGTTTCATATTGATTTTTATGTTTAATTATTAAATTCGGTTAACTTTAAAAACATACATCAGCGAAAAATTATTGTTAGACGATTAAGAAAATAACTATCATGTGTTACTAAAAAAATTATCCCATAAGAATATATTAGTAGATCATATGATTGTAAGTTCTTTCGATTTTTATTAAATATATATTCACTTATTAAAATTTTACCTATAACTTTAACAAAATAGGATTGAAATAATATTTATATAATAAAAAAATTTAAAAAACCCGAAAAAAACTATAAAATCGAACTAATCCTCGATATACATTTGGACGAAAACAGAACCAACCCGCTCAATTGCACACCTGCTTGAAGCCGTGCTCTTCAAAACTTCAACTCCCACCGACTTTCCAGATCTCCCTGTCTCTTTGTCTTTTCAACTAAAATCTTGAAAAAAAATTCTGGATTTCAAAGAGTACTATTTCTTGCTTCTCTCCGTTAATGGCTTCTAAGTTCAATCCTCTCCAATATCACCCACCTCCAAATACCTGCGCTTGCTTAATCCAGGACCCTAAACAACTCACTCCTTCTCCCAAAACTCTCATTCAAGATCCAAAATTAGTTATCAATGGGGGGTCCACACTCAGTGGCCATGTCAGCATTAGTGGGTCCAAGAACTCAGCTTTACCTATTCTTGCAGCTACCCTTTGCTGCTCTGGATCTTCAAACCTTAAAAATGTACCCTGTTTATCAGATACTAGAACAATGGCTTCAATCTTGAAGTCTTTGGGTGCTCAAGTTACGACTTTTAATGGAGAAATAGTGGTTAATACTGATGGACTGCTGTCTTTAGAACCTGATTCGACTGAAATTGGGAAACTTAGAGGTGGGTTTTTTGTGTTAGGGCCATTATTGGCTCGATTTGGTGAGGCTACTGTTGGGTTACCTGGTGGGTGTGACATTGGAGCTCGGCCTATTGATCTTTATATTCATGGTTTCCAAGCTCTTGGTGCTACAGTTGAGTTGAGGTTGGTGTGAGCTCATTGAATTTCTATTTTTTTTTTCACACCAGGTGTTTTCACCAAAATAAGCAAATTTAACCTTAGTAGGCGTTTGGACATAAAAATTACATAATTTTAAAAATATTATTTGGAATTTAAAATTATGTTTGAATATGCATTTCACTCGAAAAAATATAACAGTTTTGTGCTGTGAGAGGCGAAAAAAGTTTTTCCAAAAAATTTGAAAAATTGGTCAAAATTACTTTTTGATTTTTGAAAAACTCATTTTTTTTTTAAATCTCCAAAAATTTATAAAATTTTATGGACAAACACATTTTTGAAAAAATATTCCGGAAAAAAGGAAAAATAAATCTATGGACAAACGGGTCCTTAGTACCTAAGTCCCAATTTATGTGGCACCGTTTTAATTTCAAGAGTCAAACAAGTTTTTCTTTGACTATAATTTTTTATACATGCTTTTTAAATATTTTGAATTGTTATTATTGTGATTTATAGTAGTAATTTTTACATCATTTTCAAATATTTATTTAAAAAAACTTAAAGATTCCATGTCAAATTCACGGTAAGAATTAAAAAAGGTTGACTCAAAATCCGAACAGTGCCACATAAATTGAGACAGTGGGAGTAGTAAAAGATTAAACTGAGAGTATATTGGTTTGGTGATAAGTGTGGATGCCAGACATATTCTCTTCTATTTATTGGTTTGGTGTAACACCGGGTGCGATAATCTCTTACCGGCAGGAAGTTCCAACTAGACACTTAAATTGGAACTCGTGACACTACAATTTGAAACTGAAACTGGCCTCCTTAGGGACTGTTGGATTTCTTATATGTGAAGTTCTCTTTTAGCTTTTTGACATGGTATTATGTCCAATGGTTTCAGTTTGATTGTGCCATAGTACTGATAGCATGTGAGTTTCTTCAGAATGAGTAGTGATTAACTTTGTGAGACCACATAGGGATGGAAAAGTGCAAGCACATGTATCAAATGGTAAAGGTTTGACTGGTGCAAGCTTCCGACTCGACTGCCCCAGTGTAGGAGCAACAGAAACTCTTATGATGGCAGCATGTTTGGCTGAGGGAAATACTGTAATCTCAAATGCAGCTCAAGTATGAAAGTGTATTGTCTTTCAACTTCTATAATAAATCTGTAATCTTTATTATTAGCCCTTCATTTTGAAATGCACCGATCATTTTTTTTTTTATTGTTGTACTTTGATATGTACGATGCAGGAACCAGAGATCATTGACCTTGCTGGCTTCTTAACAAATTGTGGGGCAGTTGTGGAAGGAGCAGGAACAGACACACTGTATATTAGTGGAAGGAGAAGGTTGTATGGTTCTGAGTATAGTATAATGCCCGACAGGATTGAAGCCGGAACTTATATGTTAGCTGCTGCTATTACTCGGTCATATATCTCAATGTCGCCTGTCATTTACAGCAATTTGACTTGTTTATTAGACAAGCTTTCATGTGCTGGTTGTAAAATATTACAGCTTAGTGATGACACTTTGGAGGTATACGAAATGTGCTAATCTCTTAATTTTCTTCCATCTCGTGCATGTGTTCGTATGATAATTTGGTTCATGAGACCAGCTTTCAGCAGTACCTGGGGCAACTAGAGACAATTTGCAAGGGTTCAGTATCAAGACACATCCATTTCCTGGATTTCCGACAGATCTCCAGCCTCTGACAATGGCATTGCTTTCAACATGCAAAGGCATAAGCGTTATTGAGGAAACTGTCTTTGAAAATCGTATGAGCCATGGTATGTGGTAATTATGATGCCCGGCTACTTTTGGTTGTTTGTACAGTCTAGTTGTTTCGAAAATCACCTGCATAGCTCATGTCAGAAGTTTATCCCTGTAGAAGTTATTCCACAATCTGGATTATTGACTTGTCTAGTTGACCCCTTAGTGATGAAATATATCACTGTACTGCTCAATAAAATGTGACTACTAAATGCTACTCATTGTGTTGATTTCCATCTTTCTTGAGAACTACTTGGAATCATGAAACCCCTATTGCTTTGGTAATTTTAAGTTTGTACCCCAATGAATCAACATTGATCTCTTTATCGAGGAAGCAAACATGTTATTATGTGTATGTTGCATGATCATGACTCTTTCCAAATGTACTGCCAATTTTTAGCAAGAAGAGTGTGCTCAAGATTCTATTCTGTCCTAGTTTTCTTTGGCCTCTTTACACTGACACATATGTATTCCATTCCCTTTCTCTTATTCTGGTGCTTTGCATTCACCAATCAGGGATGCGGTTTATGTTTTCTCCGTAGAATCTGATTCATCTCACATGATTGTCTTAGAATATCTGGTCAGAATGCATAGAAAATGTTTGATGCCTTTTCCACTGATTATTTTACTTAAAATATTTCTGAAGTGTTTCATGATTTTCTACTGTGCAGTAACAGAACTGCAGAAATTTGGAGCTAAAATTCAGGTCTGCGGAAGCACAGCATTAGTTTTTGGGAAGGGAAATGCAAGGTAAGTCTCTAGTCCTTGATTGATTTCCTGAAACAATTTATTCAACCGAGTATGGGAAATTGATTATATTCTTGTATGGACCTTTTTCTAGTTCACTATGTGGTTCTCAAGTTATTGCAACTGATTTGCGTGGGGGGATGTCATTGGTTTTGGCGGGTCTAGCTGCTGAAGGATGTACTGAAATCAGTGGAATCTCCCATGTAGATAGGGGCTATGAAAGTTTGGAGATGAAACTTCAGGGTCTAGGTGCCAATGTCACAAGGATGACTTCCAGTAGCGGTCCTAGCTAGAATTTTGGTATCAGCTTTGCAAGTCGGTAATTTATCTTTGATACAAGACTTCAATCGCAAAGCTCATTGTTCACTAACCTACTAATTGTACTGTTTGTTTGACCACATAGATTGATTAGGGGAGGCTCTTTTCTTTTGAGTTTTTTTTCGAATTTGAACTTGAACTTGAACTTGAACTTGAACTTGAAAGGATTTAGGATAGATGTCATGAGTAGTAGTTTTGGCAAGAAGTAGTATATCAGAGGAAATGCAAGTTGATTTTCTACTTCTTGGTTGAATTCCAAAACATGTTACTCAATTGAATAGACATCAATAAATTTTTGCTATACCCCCTAAAATTTTTGTTGCTCCTTGGTTTGCTTCCTACTTTTGCCAATTGATATTTCACCTTCCTGAACGATGTCAGAATGAGGCAATGGAGCCATTGGCCAATCATTTGCTAACCTACTAATTTATATATGAGCATTTGCCTGACCTTACGAATTTTGTGGTTAAGGCATTTCTGTGAGTTGTGACTTTATATTCTGTTGTTGTTCTTTTTACAACTACTAGCAGTACATTTGGAAAGAGTCATGATCATGCAACATACACATAATAACATGTTTGCTTCCCTAATTGTAGTTTACTAGCCCTCCCCAGTCACAAAATTGTACTGTTGGAGATATATGGTCCCCAATGTCAGATAGTAAAGATCGTCAAAGGGATTTAAATTAAATTACTTAACTTATTACCTTCTTGTCATTCGAGTTATTTCAATCAACTCATCAGTTAATACAGTATTCGTTTCTTCCACCAATAGCAACTAATGCCATTAAATGCAGAACCTCTAGTTTTACTTGAATTCTCGTTTTATGGCTGTCGAATTTACCCAAATATACAGAGGTCAGATATGCTATGAAAATAAAATAGCCCTGGAATTCCATGGAAATGAACTACGACTGTCCTTTTGCCGTCCAGCTCTGTAGAACCGGTGATATTTAGTTTAAATTTGAACAAGTTAAAACTGTTGAATCAATAACGAGTTGGTTATACAAAAGTTTACTTTGACAAAATGGCTTAGATCAATTTAAGCTAAACATTGGGTCATAATTCAACTAACCCAGGTTCCAATTTTTTCATGTTGTTTGTTATCTATATAACTTGTTCAATTACAAAACCAAAATAATAAAAAACTTTTTTCCTTTATCATTGTATTTATAAAAAACCAAATCATGAACGCTTGTTTCTACTGCCGATAAAAGACTTTGACATCTTGCTTCCACATTAAAGTTCAAACATTCATCTGTGTAATCTACACTGACAAAAAGAGTACAAAATCTGACTTTCAAACTAATGGAAAATTTGATCCAATTACCAAAATCAACTGGCCGCTCTTACAAGAGCTACTAGCTAGTATCAGACTACAAATGTGACCTAGTCGATTTTAAACTACTAAAGCTCAGGCACATCAAAAGTTGCTGGACAATAGAAAATTCAGCTTGTACATCTGCAATCACTTTGGTATTCTCCTAAGTAATCTGTACTGGCCAAATACATTCTTCTGCTGCCAGTGATATGGAATAAAGAACGACCGATACAATGGAGGAGATAACTCCCTGTCCAGATATGGAAGTGCTGCAACAATCTGCAGGCAACATTCTTAAAAGTCAATAACATGCAGCATGGTAAGAGAGAGATGAGCTTACGAGGATGAGCCAGTACCTCCCATGTAGACAAGTCACTTCCTCGTGTAGGATAAGGCCGTTGAAGTTGCAGCTCTATCAGAAAAGTGCATTGCTCAGGATCCGTAAGCTGTAAAATTATTACCAAACAAAGCTGAGTGTCATCCTCGAGTTGATATAAATTGTACACTACAATAGAAACAAAATACAGACTTGCTAATATGCCAAACTGTAAAAGATGGACATTGTTTCTGGTTAAACATAATAGGAATTGTCCGCTTACATATTGCTCCTCTGATGCCTTGTTCTTATTATTGAAGTAAGATGGTGCTGCCGAGGTCCCACCCAAGCTAGAATTGAATGGAATTGGAAGAAGGCCCGTGAATCCATCATCCAACCATCTAACTTGGCCCACGTAATCAGGAATGAGGAACGAAGAAGGGAACCGGTGCCACTCACTTCCAACGCAAAGGACAGAACCTGAACCACATGGGGAGTTTAAAATGTAATGGAGAAATGAATAAAATGTAATGGAGAAATGAATACTGCATGTGAGTCTTTCAGAATATGAAAAGATGCAGCATGCGTCCAGCCTCGTATGCTAAACAAAGCACCTGGAATGCACTGCATCTAGCAAGAACAGGGTAAATGGAGAAAAAAGAACATAGCTGTAACTTTAAAATGAAAAATATCACACATAGATGTTCTTAGTGTTTCTGCTCGCATTTGACAAATGCTGATATTAAAGGGCGATTATCTAACTGACCAGATAAATGGAGAACCACATGATAACAGCAAATCACCTCTCATATCTCGACCTTAATAATTTCATCTAGGTTCAAATCATTAAATCAGGTATTCACTTTCAACCCTATGCCAGAAAGGCACACCTTTGGCTCCCAAAAATCAGATTTTAAAAGAGAAATCGTTTCACCTGCTCGTTTATCCAGTATTTGCTAATGTTACTGGATAAAAATACTTTATACAACAAAAATAAGTTCAAGAAATAATTATAAGGTCTTTTTAATCCAACAAATAAAGATCTTAATGCCAGGATCATAGAATACATGTTATCCTCAGGAAAAAATTAACTCATGCATCAAGATTTTTACACCATTCACCAGAGTCTTAAACATTCTAAAGATGAAAATCTAACAAACAGATATTCAACTCTTCATTAAACAGGCTAATACTCACCTGTTCCAGCGTCATCGTAGTAGTCTAAATGCTTGTAAATCTCAATAGGAGCTGAATAACCATTAATAAGGGAAAATGTCCGAGCATGGGAGGAACAAAGAATCAAACCAAGAGCTAGAGGTCGGAGAAATTTTGCTATCTGCATAAGCAAAGCAAGTGAATACTATAGGCACTGAAAATTGAAGCTTGATAATTTCTCTTCGGGCATAGGAAATTACCATAACTAGAACGGATGTATCGTTGGGATTATACTTATCCCTGAACAGATCAGGAAAGCTCTCAATCACAGCAGAAGCAGCAACACAGATAAGTGGATATATTGGGTACAGAAATCTGCACAGGCAGTAAACTATGAGTTGCTACATCAGATTCCAATTTGCAGTTCATGTTACAACTTTCAATCTCAGATGCAGTTAAAGATAGATTCACGTTTCTTGGCTACAAATATGATTGCCTTATCATGAGCAATGACACTAGCATCTTCCGGGCAATTATCATTTCGTGTGAAAAAAGCTAATGCATCAGCTATCAAGAACAATGCCAAAATTTAAACGCTAATATGTGGATTCCATACAACCCGAACAGACATACAAATCCCTGATAAATGAAATTTCAGTATAGTACTGCAAATAAGAAATTTGAAGAAGCCAAATATAGCTCCACTTTTCCTAAAAAAGGATTTTGGTAGAGCATGTTGACCAAAAATATCTTTTCAGCTAGCAACTTGTCATAGACGAGCCACTATAAAGGTCCTACCGGGTTGAACTCGGGAAATCAGGAGTTTTGGCATAACAATTTCAGTCTGACTTTTAGTTATTTGCTATGTTACCTTGCCATATTCAGAAAACATACTTATTTCCTCTNCTAAGAACAGTAGAGCAAACACAAAACAGAAGTTGAAATTGTTAAAGCCATTCCTCAAATAAAACGATGGCCCTTCAGTACCATAGAGATGACTTTCACCACCCCCTAAAACATTGTATACCATCAAGTTGATAACAGAGGATGTCCACCTCTTATAGTAGCGGTAGTCAACAAGAAGTGAGAGTACCTACAACAATTTGTACAACAAGTCGAGTCATCAGGCAGCACAGATATGTGTTCCAGGGAGGGAAAAAAGCATGCCAGCAGCACTAAAACGGGCAAACTAATAGGTTAAGTGGAATTTTGAAATTTCAATTTAGGAAGATGGACTTGCATATTGAATTTTAGCAAAATGACCATTTGGTTGGCGATCTTCCTGCATCTTGCACAGTAAGCATGAATAACTCCATATGTTGGAAACTAAGTTGCTCCGACAGGGCAGTTTATGTACCGGATCTGGTCAAACAATTTTGGATACTTTGACCATAATGGACGGAAAATTTCAAGACGAGATACAATTTGATTCACGAAATCAGAACCAAAACTAGGGTAAATTTGAAGAAAATAGCATACATTATCTGTGAAATCAATCCTTTACTTATCTACAACTTGAGAATAAAAATAAATTCACACTTTACAAGTTATATGTAAGTATTCCACAAAATTTCTCATAATTTAGAGATATTCTTTTTATTTTTATATTTTTTTGAATTATTTTTAGCCGGATCCCCGCACCCTTATCTGTACTAGGATCCGTATCCCCGAATCTTAAAATTTATAGCTTGAAGGATCTGACCTCTAGATCCGCACCCCTATTGGACACCCACACCCATGTCCGAGCAACTTATGTTGGAAATGTATAATTTTGATTCCCTTTAAAGAAAACTTCCCAAGTTTTAAGTTTGAAACACGAGAACTCAACATCACAAGAGACTTAGCTAGCGTTTGGCCATAGATTCCCAAATTTGTTCTGAAAAATCTGATTTGGGTGAAGTTTGGTTTGAAGATGAAAATGTGTTTGGACATCAATTTTCAAAACATATTTCTTAAATTTATTTTGGAAAAACATGAAACATGGCTTATACCCACAAGTTCTAAAAACTATCACAAATAACCAACACTACTATTATCAATAACATTCATTATATTATCGCAAACCATAGTCCTGAACATAAATAAATTTGATACAAAATTATCATTTTTATAATGAACTACATAATACACTATTAGGTGACCGAGAAGACGAAGCAACATTGTTACAAAATAATAAATGGTGGGCTCTTTTATAAAATACAAAAGTTTGGGGCAATTTTTAAAAAATGTAATAGTGATATTTTGGCCCAAAACCAGCTATTGAGCTGGTTTTGGGATTTAGGATTTTGCCAAAATGTAGGCAAAATCTATGGCCAAACATGTGTTTGCCAAATAAAATCCAAATTTATTTTGGCAAAATCTATGGCCAAACAGGTCCTTAATATGATCAAAACTTACCATAAGGATGACAGAAGTGACAACACCTGTAAGAAACACAGATTTGAATCTCTTAACCAGTGAGTAAATTGTCAGTGGAAGAAAAGCAAGGATCGAAAACGGCCAGCCCAGAATCACTCCAGTGGCAGCAACAGAAACTGCCATGGCAGGCTTATTAAGGAGGAATAGTGCTGAAGAAAGAGACATGGCATACATTGAGAATGAACTCGGCAGGAAACCTGCGCAAAGGACACATAATAGGCCTTAGTATTATGAGAAAAACGGACCCAATGTACATGTGGTTGAAAGTTGTGAGCAAGACCAGATGTGTTAGCAACCAATATTAAGGAGTCACCAGTGCATGTCTAGATCACACATAGTATGAAAGCACACAGAAAAAGCTAAAATTTAAAAATCATTAATTGTTTAACACCAGAAAATGAAAACCTCAAATATAGTTCACAGAAAGAACATACTTGTGCTTCATTAATTGTTTACCACCAAAAAAGGAGAAACCTCAAATATAGTCTAGCGAGAGAACATACTCGTGCTAGCAAAGAAACAACCACTTGCTAAGCATAGCATTGCGAGTGTATATGATGCAAGACGCTTTCCATACTTCCGGGAAAGGGCTACAACTAGAGCAGCATCGCTGATCACAGAGAGCACTGCAAGAAAGATTCTCACAGCATAAAATACTCTCACCTGACATGTTGAAAGATGGAGAAATTTGAGAAACAAATAAATGAAATGACTAACAATGGGAAATATTTCTGGAAACAAAAACAATCTCACCTTCTCCTCCCCAAACCACAATGAAGCAGGCCAACCCACCAGTTTGTGAAGTAGGATATAAAGATATGACCGCAAGGCAAACTGTGAACTGCAAATAACATGTTACCCAACTTTGTAAAGTACCATCAAAACAAAGTGAACTCTAGTTACTAAAAGGGAATCATACTAATATCATCAACCAATCAATTGTGCTTCAATCCAAATCAAAGTTGGGGTCGGCTATAAGGTTCCTTTGTAACCATTCCTCTCTATTTGGCCATAAGTTATTTCAATACCAATTTTCTTATAAATAATTCATCTAATAAGGCAAATAATGGGTTCTCTAGGTCACACACTTATCCCCACACCAGCACACAAGTCTTGAACCAAATTAAAGGACTCTCGTCAACTACTAACCTAATGTATGTGTAACAACAATGACTAAACCTTAATCGAAACTACTAGTTTGTATCCTCTATATGAATCACTTGCTGCCAATCCCAAAATATATGTCTTGTCATATGTGCCAAAGGATGAATATTTAAACTACAATATGTGGTACTATAAGTAAAGTACATACTTGAATATTTAGATATCACAAGGAAGTAGAGATAAAGTACTCCTTCCGTCTCAATTTATGCGGCACTATTAATTTAAGAACGAAAGAAACAACAACAACAACAACAACAACCCAGTAAAATTCCATTAATGGGGTCTGGGGAGGGTAGTGTGTACGGAGACCTTACCCCTACCCCAAAGGAGTAGAGAGGCTGTTTCCGAAAGACCCTCGACTCAAGAAAACAAAAAGACAAGGACAAAAGGAGACAATATTAGTATCACCACAACAATCATAGGAAAAATAGAAACATCATGAAATGCAGAAGAAAGATGCAAAGCAAAAGCGATAGCTAGTAAATAGGACATGCACTGGAAAGCGAAGTAGTAAAACACAACATTGTCACTAGCTATCTTAGACAAAACTCTACCTGGCTAGTCCCACAATGGTACGAAGTAAGTCAAGACTCAACTATTGTTGGGATTTTAAGCTTGTGTAGCTTAAAGAGGGTGAATGAGAAATGGGGGGAAAATGAAATATTTGAGTTTCTNNTCGGATTTGGTCAAAGATCGATTGATTGATTAATATTTTTGGACAAAATTCCTTTCAATTATTTAATTACTTAATTAAATAATTAAAGAAAAATTCAATCCGGAATAACTCATGACCCGCGATCCGGTCAGGGAACCGACAAACCTTTTGCCTCCAGGCATCTCCAGAGAACTTCTCTAGGAACCTTGTCATACGCTTTCTCTAGGTCAATAAAGACCATGTGCAGATCCTTCTTCCTCTCTCTGTACAGTTCCACCAACCTCCTAACAAGGTGTATAGCTTCTGTAGTCGAACGACCCGGCATGAACCCGAATTGGTTGTCGGATACAGACACTGTCATCCTCATCCTCACCCTCACTTCAACCACCATCTCCCACACTTTCATGGTATGACTCAGTAATTTGATACCCCTATAATTGTTACAACTCTGGATATCACCTTTGTTCTTATACAATGGGACCACCGTACTCCACCTCCACTCATCCGGCATCCTCTTCGCCTTAAAAATAATATTAAACAACCTAGTCAACCACTCCAAACCTGCTCTTCCCACACACTTC